TGTAACCCCAAGGAGACCAATAAACGAATATCTATCTATTTGTGCTTGAATCTAAATGTCGCGCGTTCTATAATTTTACCGAACCAGTTTTTATAATTCCCTTTCATTTTTTATCGCTTTTGTTAAGAAAAGTTGTTGAAGAAGGTTCCACGAAACCGAAATGGACAATATCAAATTTATATTGAAAGTAACTCTGCTAATTGTTATTTCTACAATTAATATTGTTTATTTGAATTTGTTTTTATCACGTCATTTCGTTTTCACTTGTTCACTGGCCTCTTTTTCCTCTTGTTAATTTATATGAGCTGTCTACAATTTTGCTCTGATGATTATTATTATTATAACAAAAAATATTTGAAAAGTATAAAACAAGTATTAAAAAAGTATTAAAAAGTATTAAAAAGCTCTTATTTCAATAATTATTGTTGCACTGATACTGTACTGACGAACTGCGTCATATTCATTCCTTTAATGTTGTCCCGGATAGCCAACACAGTATGAGATGTATACGTATGGAGGGTATAGAGGGTATGGAGAAGTATTTCTTGCTCATTTCCCACAAATGCGATTTCGGAAGATGACTTTATTATATAATGTTATATTCAGCATAAAACGCTCTTGAATTCATGTCCTTATAAAAATTTAAAAATTTTTGAAAATTAGGAGGAAGGAGTGAGGGACTCGAAAATATAACGTTCTTGAAACCTTCGAATACGTCATTGTAAAGTGCACTTGCAACCGTAAAACTTTTGTTTAAAACTTTTTTTGATATTTTTTTGATATTTTTAACGGTTTGGATGATACTCAGAAAGAAAAAACCGATTTTCTTCAATGGGTAATTTCACTCCTTTAACATTCGAAAACGCAAAAAAATATGTGTCTCTTATTTTTGTCCATATTTTAACACACTTGAAACTCATTAAAATCGGGGGGACACTTCCGATACTTCCCTTGTCAGAAATTATAAGAAATGATGCTTATTTTCTTTGTTGCATTTTTATATAAT